GATGGATTCCATTCGGGTGATATGAGTGCAAACTGAAATGGTTAAAGTAAGACTTCACTGAGGGTTATATTAGTCTGTATTCATATTGCTAGAGAGAAATATCTGAGATTGGGTAATTTATGAAGAAAAGAGGTTTAATTGGCTCTCAGTTCTGCAGGTTGTACAGGAAGCATGATGATCTGCTCGGCTTCTGGGGAGGCCCTGGGACGCTTACAATCATGGCAGAAGACAAAGGGGGAGCAGGCACATCATATGGTCAGAGCCGGAGCAAGGCGGTAAAGGGGGGCTGCTGCACACTTTGAACAACCAGATCTCATGAAGTCGCTATCATGAGGACAGCACCAATGAAATGGTGCTAAACTGTTCAAGAGAAATCCACCCCCACGATCCAATCACCTTCCACCAGGTCCCACCTCCAACACTGGGGATTACATTTCAATATGAGATTTGGGCAGGGACACGGAGTCAAACTCCATCAGGCTTCAAAGAAAAATGGAAACTGATCAAGATAGCATCTACATAATAATGTGGTTTAAAACGCACAATGTATTCCCTTTAAACAGGGGGCCCGTCATAACTCCTTTCCAGCCTAGCTGCAGGCTTGCCTCCACGAGGCAGGGGGCATCCAAGTGTTTCCCCAGACACAACGGGATTCCTCCATGTCTGGACCAAGAGGGTGGGGCTCTGAGTGGGGCAGGAGCCCCAACTCCTGTCTATATGGTCCAGCTGGGAGATTAGCAAGACAGACATCCACTCAAGAGGAAGTCCCATCCACTCATAGAGGGCAGCATTATTCATAGTCTCAATGATGTCAAAATGCCTCACACTAAGCCTGATATCCCATGAGAGATGGACACATGGCAGAGAGGGGGATGGCTTCTGTGCTATTATCTGCTTGAGAAGCCAGGTAGTGAAGTAGCTAGTCAACACATTCTTTATAAAAGGAGAAGCTACACCAAATGAAGTCCAGGTTGTATCAGGAGAAAGCTATTTCTTTGCATGGAGAAAAGGTAAGAAAATAATCAGATAGATAATGGCAGAAGCAGCAAACTGAGACCCGAGATGGTACCTTATAGCACTTGCTATGGAAAAATACTTTTGTATGTTTTAGAGGAAAGATCTGACCTCTGCAGCTGCTCTCTGTGCCAGGTAAAGTGGATCCCACTATGAATACAGTCATGTGAACAGTAGCACAGTAACTCATATTTCATTGGCTCATCACCTGCAAACCAGTCTCCTCCCAAATCTTAACAAGAGTCGTCCTGGTATGTGTCATACATTCATGAACAAGTCCACTCCCTCAGTGCTGCCACTGCTCTGCAGGGCACCATACTGTCTCTGCCATGCTGTCAGGCATGACAGCTGCAGCACCAGACCCCTCGGAGTCCCCTGCACATGTGGTCTGCAGAGAGGTGGGGAGAATGTGCAGTTATTGGCAGAGCAGTTCCTTCGCTCAGCATGACTACCTTCTCTTCTCCTACCACCCCTCCACGGTGGTACTGGGGACAGAAACCCTGTTTTCTACTCTTTCATGACCAGTCAGCTGCGGCCACAACGGAGACACCGGGGAGGCACAGAAAAACAGGTGACTGTGCTTCTAGGTCCTAGAGAGGCAGTCACTGTGCACATGAAGGGGCCACCCTGCAAAGCCAGGGGCTCCATCACATGGAGAAGAGCAGAGGGAGTAGGGCCCTGCAGGCCAGTGCTGCCACTGGGGATCAGGGTGGACGCAAGCAAAGAGCAGGCAGGGCTTCAGTGGTGTGTTGAGTGTCACTAATATTACAGGAACATTATTCAATGACAACTGTTAAAGCACAGGATCTTAATTTGTTTTCTGTTCCTTATAATACCTGACACTAGGTCATTTATAAAGAAAAGGAATTTCTTTTTTACAGCTTTGGAGTCGGAGAAGGCCGGGGTCAAAGGGCCACACCTGGCAGGGCCTTCTTGCTGAGGGAGTCTCTGCAGTCTCAAGGTGGCACAGAGCAGCTCACAGCGAGAGGGTGAGTGTGCCAGTTCAGGTGTTCCTTCTTCATGTAGAGCCACTCCCCACTCCCGAGACAACCCACTAACCCATTCATCCACGAGTGCATTACTGTCACATTGGGGATTAAGTCTCAACATGACTTTTAGAGAGAAAAAATATTCACACCATTCACAGCACACAGTAAGGCTGACTTTATTGAGGACCATGGTGATAGGTATGTAGACCACCACAGTGAGATTTTGCAGTGGGGGGAGAAATATTGAGCTTAATTCCCAATGCAAGTGGAAATGGATAGCCAAGAAGCAAGGTGGGCGTGACTGCATGGAAAATTACTAAGAGACAACATGAGGGGCAAGGTGGGTTCTGACTAATCTTATCTAATAGGCTTCTTGCTGAACGCAGGCCAGGCTGATCCGACATCACCTAGGGGATGGTGAGGGATGGGGAATCTGTTAAATAATGGGGGTGATCAGATATTAGATGGTGGTTTTTGCTCAGGTGACTAGCAAGGCTCTTTGCTAAATCTGGATTTTATAAGGAAATGTGCAGATGGGCCTTGGAGAAGAAGATTCAGGAACCTGACTAGTTTGGTAGAGCAACGACTTTCTGTCACTAGGTCACAATCCGGGAGGGCAGTAAGGGGAACTGTGGCAGGGCCAGCTCACCATCCTGGAGCACCTGGCCACCTGGGATGGGGGGAAGTGGGGGACGCTCACTGCCTGTTTTTGGTGTTGAGGCTGAAGGGAAGCATGAAGTTTTGAAATATATACTACATGCCCCACGTGGTTCTGACCCGGCGCCCGCAGTTCTCAGCATCATACATTCTAGCCCTGCAGGTAGCTGAGGCTCGGTTCCCGGGACAGAGGCTTGTGCCTGACTCTGGGATAAAGAAAAGAGCCGGGGCTGTCTGCGGGGCCCCAGGGCTCAGCGATGGCTGAACCCCACGCTCTCACGGAGCCCTCCGTGTCCCAGGTTTTCCATCATCTTCCTGTCCCTCACATTTGGAGCACTCCAGATGAAGCTGTCCTGACGGGTGGGTGATGTTTTGCTGGGAGGCGCCCAGCTCAGCTCCTCCTGTCTCAGGCCCCACTCGGTGGGGAGCCGCCGCAGTGTTCACCGCTGCCTTGCACCCCGAAACACCCCTCCGTGCCCCCCAGCGACCTTCCGCCTCCGGGTTCCTCTCTGCCTCGCTGCCTGCTATGGCTTTAGAACCCAGCTCACGCTCGGCGGCGTTTGGGCAGCCACGTTTGGTGCTGGGGAATGGAAGAGGATGACACCGCCTACGTCGACTTATATTTTCAAGGATGAGCACACCCTCCCTTGGTAGCCACTTCCGAGCCCGGCAGCTTCCCCGGGTGCTGCTCCGCCCCGCGCCCGCAGCCTGAGTGGCGCCCCAGATCTCAAGCTGGTGCCACGATGCCACCTTCTCCCACAACGTGTCATTTGACTGTCTTTGAAAGAAAGGTCGGTTGCCAGGGGTCTTCACGACTCCTCGGGTGTGTTTTGGGCCGGCATGTATGTCCTCTTGTCCTTCTCTTACACAGAAGAGTGGGGAGGGTGTTCTAAGAATTTGGCTTGACCTAAGGAAAATAAAGTTATAATGTCAAGGCACTGACCAAGGTCTCAAGAACGGCCATGGGGGAAGATAGCCCTGGGTGTGAAAGGGCCTCAGAAGGCATCCCACGTGCTCTGCATTTAAAAAGCCCCCAGGAGACAGGAGGCTGAAAAAACGGAACCTGCCACTTCTCCATAAAATAGTGTCAGTGAGCTGTCCAGGAGGGCAGGTGTTCTGCCGATCAGGCAGCATTTAGGAAAATATGCCGATTCCTTAAATTGGGTTTCGATTTTTCAGTTTTTGAAAATATCGATTTTCTTTAGGGCAGGTTTGTGTACTTGCCAACAGTTACACCTTATCCACCAACAGACTGCAGGAAGAAGAGACTATCTTCACCTCCCTTCCGGGTAGGAAAGCTCAGAGTTCAGTAGGCCTAGCCTAACAAAGCCCGCGGTGGCGTGGTACTCTAAACTGAGGCTTTGAGACATCGACTGTGGGTTATTTTGCCTCGTTAAGTCCCTGCGGTGCGAGAGGGATGGCTCCTAAAGCATGTCCACATCAGTAGCTCCTGGACTGGATTTCCCTACATCGTGTAGGTATGAAAATTTGGTGGGAGACACGATGCCAGGAAAGAGGAAAGGAGCAGAAACGTGGAACTAAGGGGATGCTGCTGTAATAGTCATCCTGTTGTATCTGTTCTGTTTCCCTGAACTTTGAAGACGGTTATGCTGAGTAACGCCTTTAAAATTATTTTCTTCTACACTGTAATTTCCCATGGTCCTATTTTTAGAAGGGTGTGTTTCTCATGTCCAGCCCTTTGGGGTTGGAGGGACACTAGAAGAGGTAGTGGGATGACACCAGACTTCCCCACATTCTCCACTGAGGCCACAGAGGCAGGAGGGACTGAGCCTTCCCTGTGCTCGGCACTGTTTTTCTTCATCATGTCACTTTTTACATTACATTAACGTTTATCTTGCTTGCTTCCAGAAAAGCTCCCACATCAGCTATGCTGTAATCCTTGCTTTTCTCACTCACTAACTGGGAATTCCCAGAGAGCAAAAACTATCTTTTAAATCTAGTTCTTCATCACCTAGTACCATGTGGCGCCCAATCAATGTTTATTGAGTGGAAGAAAACCGGAATAAGACATTTTCCTCAAGGAGCAGAAATCATTACATGTATTTGGTTCTAAACAAATAATGAAAATAAAAAGAACCAATGATAACAATCACATCACGATTATATAAATGCAAAGATCTGGTTGTGTCCTTTTTGTAATAGATACTATGCTCTTGGCCAATTAACACTGGAGGACTCTTTCTGGTCAACAACATATTTGGATAATTAAGTATGCTTTCATTTTATGTCCTGGTACCAAAGATGTCCATTTATTCATGACGAAGGGACTGAACATAAAACATAAAAAGAAAAAAAAAAAAAGGCCTGTGGCTCCTCCTCCCAGACACCCCCCTCCAACAATGATGAATAGGAGGGACTGTTCCCTCCCCCATCCCCCGGGAGACTAGCCTTGCAGTGTTTTAGGCTGTTTTGAAATTCTGTTCTTTAGACTTTTTTCTTCCTTAATATCAAAGCTGGAGTTGCCGCTGTTCCTTCGGGCTGGTGCAGCAGGGGCCGGTGAAATGCGGCTGACGACGGCGCGCCGGCGGCTGCGCTCGCCCCGATCGGCGGCGCGCACACACCTTGAGTGACAGCAAGCTCTTCTCTACAGGTTTTCCCCGGGGCAGCGTGGCCCTCGCAGGCGTTCGGTTTTCTCTGGAAATCGCCGAGGGGGCTCGTCCTCAGGAGAGGGGCCCGGCGCAGCGATCCCAACCCGGGGACTCAGCCCTGGGCGGTGCGCGCCGCCGCGGACGGGCTCTGCGGGCCGCGGGAAGGTGCGGGGAGGCGCCAGCAGGCTGAGCCTCGGGGCGCTCCCGCGAGCCCGCTCCTCCCCGCCGGGCGCAGGGCAGAGACGCGCGCAGCGCCTCCGCGGCCGCCCGATGTGCGAGCCGCCCGCGACTAGGCAGGCCCCGCGCAGAGGCCCCGCTCCCCCCGCCAGCTCGCGGCCTCGCTCCTCCTAGAGGACTCTCAGCGTGAGCCCCGGGAGGAGGAGGCGGCGGCGGGACAAGCCGCAGCGCCGGGGCAGGAGGTTTGTCCCCGCCCGCGCGCCGTACCGCGGCGGAGATGGGCGAAACCATGTCAAAGAGGCTGAAGCTGCATCTGGGAGGGGAGGCAGAGATGGAGGAACGGGCGTTCGCCAACCCTTTCCCGGACTACGAGGCCGCCGCCGGGGCGCTGCTCGCCTCCGGAGCGGCCGAAGAGACAGGATATGTTCGTCCCCCGGCCTCTACGGACGAGCCCGGCCTCCCTTTTCATCAGGACGGGAAGGTGAGTCGGCGGCCGGGACGCACTGGCGCCTGAGGGGGAGCGCAGCGGTGGTAGCGTCCACCCTCCGCCAAGCTTGACGTCACAGGCGCGCGCCGCGCTCGAGAGGGCCTCGGGCGGGAGGGCGCTGGACGGTAGCGCCCGGTGCTTGGCTTCGGGCCTTCGCGGTGAGCGGCGCTCAGGGGCCGTGGGCATCAGCTGCGTGAGCCGCGTTCCCGCAGCTTGGCGCCTGGAGGTGACTGCGAGGCCCGAGCGGCGGTTAGCCGTGCAGGTTTGTGCACCTGCGAGGCCCGCGGACACCCCTCGCCCCTGAGCGGCGGAGCGCTCCGCGGGCGACCTGCTCCTGACCCATGGCCCGGTGGCTGGCTTTCCTTGGCCGTGTCTGGAGTCTGGGCCCCCGCCGTCACAGAAACGTCCTTGTAGATTCATTACTGTGTGCCCCGGAATAGGAAGCAGGTGTAGGGAGGCCCAGCTTCACCCTCCGGGGGTCCGGAGCTGGGCCAGAGTTACATTGACATAAAACAGATTAACAGGAGAAAAACATACGCATCTCTTGCATGTGGTTTATGTGAAAAGGACACACATAAGTGGAAAAGCCCAAGAGCGTTTATGCTAGGCGGAACCAAGAGCGGCAGCTGTGGGACATAACTGAGGTGTGCGGGGACACTAGCGGAAGATGGAACCGTTTGAACCGCGTCTGGGTAGAAATCTCCCCTTTGACTGCCCGGCTCTGGCACTCAGTGTTTCTTCGCTGCTGCTGTAGGGAGGCCATCTTTTACAGTTTTGTCTTCTGCTTATAGGAAGAAAAGGGGCAGTTTAGAGCACTCCTGTTTTTCAAGTGCTTTTAGCTCAAAATAATCCTTATGCCAGAGAAACTTTTGGGGCGGCATACCCTGGTCACCCTTCACGGGCTATCTGAACAAAGTGTAACGTGGAAGGCAAAAAGCAGAATTAAAGGAAGATTGAGTATCAGCACAACTGTTTTCATGCTTGGTAAAACTGTACCTTTATCAGGTTTTCTTTTTCCACTGAAGTACGTGTTCCAAGGTGCACTTCATCTCCCTGGATCCCCGTGTACTGTATTTCATATTTGTAAAGGGACAAGGTGGCTAAAACACGGTAATTTTGAAAGAGCCGTTTGGTCTGAATATAGAACCTGTATTCTATATTCAGACCAAATATAGTCTGAATATTCTATATTCAGACTATATTTGTGACCTCTCTCTCTTTTCTTGAATGTGGTTAAAAACTGGAAACAGGCCTGGCGCAGTGGTTCACGCCAGCAATCCCAGCACTTTGGGAGGCGGAGGCGGGCTGATTGCTTAAGCCCAGCAGTTGGAGGCCAGCATGGCGAAACCCCATCTCTACAAAAACGAAAATTAACCGAGTGTGGTGTCACATACCTGTTGTCCCAGCTACTCGGGAGGGAGAATCGTTTGAACCTGGGAGGTTGAGGGAGCCGAGATTGCACCACTGCACTCCATCTAACTCATGGGGCTGTGTCTGAATTAGATGAAGCATGTAAATTGCCTAGCAAACTGCTTGATGTGGTACCTTAAGCAGGGCCTCAATAAATGTTAACGTCTTCCTTTTGATGATTTAAAGTTAACACGGTTTAGAATTCATATGTCAATATTGGTTTTTCTCTGGATTTCTTTTATTTTTACATACAAATATGTATTTCGTCGTGGCTTTAGTGTTTAATTTTTTTAATAACAAAGATAAATCTCTGGCAAGCATTGAAAAAACTATCCATCATTCATTCTTATTACCAGTTGCTATCTCAATACTATCCTTGGAGTAAGTAGGTTACTGCAATGTTTAGTGAAAGGTAAGTGAAATGAACTCTTGATATGAGAATAATAATACAATAATAATGATAAAGACATGGGAAGCAGGTGAGTTTCATTTGCAACCTCACAGGAGATAAACACTAATTGAACTCTAAGTTCTGTAACTGCATATTTTTCTTTTTACCCTTTCTATCTGGATAAATGTGATTTTGACCTCAGCTATATACCTGATTTATGTTTAAAAGAAAATTAGACTACAGGTAGTTAATAGGGCTTGTGATATTTCTGCAATGAAATGATAAGTTGCAGTGGAGACCTATGCTACTGGTTGTGAGTATATGCTAAAGAAAGGGAGAAATGGACATCATACTATTCTTGAATGTGAAGATGAGAGCACATTGAAGGGAGAGAGGGACAGTGGTTTTAAAAGGTGGAAAGACTGCTTCTTGGTTATTGGAAAGTCATCAGATACAGTTAATATGATATGAACTCCACTGTCCTCCCTATTAATATTTTTATGATTGACAGATCATTAAATTTTTAACTGGCCAGGCACAGTGGCTCACGCCTGTAATCCCAGCACTTTGGGAGGCCAAGGTGGGCAGATCATGAGGTCAAGAGATCCTGACCATCCTGGCCAACATGGTGAAACCCCATCTCTACTAAAAATACAAAAATTAGCTGGGCATGGTGAGGCGCGCCTGTAGTCCCAGCTACTTGGGAGGCTGACACAGGAGAATCACTTGAACCTGGGAGGCGGAGGTTGCAGTAAGCCAAGGTTATGCCACTGCACTCCAGCCTGGTGACAGAGCAAGACTCTGTCTCAAAAAAAAAAAAAAATTAAAAATATGTTAAGAATGCAATTAGAGGATATAAAATTATGCATTGTTTTTGATAGACATGAAAGTTCATGCTAATATGAGTTTGTGTCCCCCACCAAAAAAAAAGGTATTGAAGGTTGAAGTCCTAACCCACGGGAACCTCAGAATGTGACATTTGGAAGTAAGGTCATGGCAGATGTGATTAGTTAAGGTGAGGTCATACTGGAATATGGTGGGCTCTTAATCCAATATGACTGGTGTTCTAATATGAAGAAAAGAGAGCCAGGTGTGATGGCTTATGCCTGTAATACCAGCACTTTGGGAGGCTGAGGCAGGAGGATCGCTTGAGGACAGGAGTTCGAGACTAGCTTGGGCGACATAGTGAGACCCTGTCTGTTTTAAAAAAAAAAAAAAAATGAGAAGACAGAGACATAGGGAGAGAGAAGATGGCCATGTGACGATGGAGGCAAAGATTGGGATTGCCAGCCAACACCAAAGCCAGAAGAGGCAAGGAAAGATTCTCCTCTGTAGGTTTGACCCGCAGGGAGCGTCGCCCTGTTGACATGTGGATTCTGGACTTGTAGCTTCCAGAGCTATGAGAAAATAAATTTCTGTGGTTTTAAGCTACCCAGTTTGTGGAACTTTGTGTTACCCCTAGGGTAACTTGTTAATTTGTAAATTAAGCATTGAATAACTTTCTCTCCATGATGTGTGCTGTTACTAAGTAAGAATGACAAAAATCTACCAACACACTAACAGTTTATTACTAAGTATTCTTTAAGTTATTTACTCTATTTCATTTTAGGTCAGCTGCCTAGATGTGTGGTGTGATCTGTCAATAAAATTAGCCTCCAATTCTAAAACCACTCAAGTCTACCTACTTCCCTGAACCATATTTCCATAACTTGATGTTTATAACATTTTTTACAATATTGGGGCAAATATTATGAAAAGCAGTGAACCAGTGTAGTAGCAGTTGTTTTTAATTATGGAAGGTCGCTGAAGCAGACACTCTTAGTTACTCATCTAACAACCATTTCCTCCTTTTTACTTGATTTTGTTGTGCCCATGGACTTAAGGGGAATTGAGCCCAGCTGCAGGAGCTGAATCATGATTAGTCTGTGCCAGTGGTTCTCAAACTGTGGTTTTTTTGACCACCAGCAGCAGCTTTATCTGATGTTCAAGTCCAACCAGGAGATGGGTACCACAGAGTTTAATAGGGAAAGTTGAACATAAAAATTTTTTATTAACTGTGAGACTGGAGAAATGAGAGATTGCCTCACGAGAAGGAAAGAGAATTCTGAAGAATATAGGAATAGCAGACAGAAGGAGCAGCCTCACCGCTAGGGCTGAGAGGGCACTGAAGTAAAGGCCCCTATGATTAGCTTAATAATCATCCCAACACTTAGCATTTTTATAGACACTTAGGATCTCATGCAGCGTCTCAAGAGTCGGGAATCCAGCCGCAGGTTCTGGCTCATCGTCTCTGGAGAAGCTGCACTCAAGCTCTCAGCCAGGGCTACTGTTATTTTAAGGCTTGTCTGGGGCAGGAGAAGCTGCTCCAAGCTCATTCACATCGTTGTTAGCCAGCCTTGCTAGGTGTTTTCTGGAGGCTTCAGTGTCTGACCACATGGGCCACTCCTTTGGGCTGCCTCATGACATAGTGGCTGGCTTCTCCCACACTGAGTGATCAAAGAGAAAAGTGTGCAAGAGCACCCAGGATGGAAGCTGCAGTCATTGTATTTATTATGTAATCTCAGAAGTGACATACCATCACGCACACCTGCCATATTGTGTTCTATTAGAAGCGAGACAGTCAACCCAGCCCACACTCAAGTTGAGGGGTTATACAGGAGCATAAATACCATGAACTGTGGAGCCCTCAGCCAGGGCTGAGATCTTGAACTTGTCAGAGAGGGCATGGCCATACCTCAATGGTTGGCCAAGAAATTGCTGTCATACTGTGCCGTTGCTAGAAGTGTAGCCTCCAGAACCCTGCAATGAGTGTTACAGTAAGTGACAATATGTAAAGGGTATCTTGGGGGGCACAAGAGAAGAAATAAGGCAAGTTAATTCGCCCGTTAGCATCAGGGAAGGCTTTTCAGATTAAAATGATATTTGTGTAGTCCTTGAAAGATTTAAGTGGGGGTTTTGCAGGCTCAGGTAGGGAATTCAATGAGCAAGGATTTAAGGGATACCACTTTACGAGAATGTCAAGAAGTAGAGTGTGACTGGAGAAGGAAGGGCGTGAATGGCGCTGGGGGTAATGAGGCTAAAGAGGGTGATTGGACTTGATGCTGAAGGACTTGATGGATTGGAAGGACTCTTTAAAAATACATTTTACTGTGTATATTTAAGGTATACCACATGATATATGTGGTACATATAG